AGACAGACAGACAGACAGACAGACAGACAGACAGACAGACAGACAGACAGACAGAAACAACAGAGGGAAAGTAAAGAAGTTATAGTATAGGGCCTATCAGAGGCGTCCTCAACACAACCAACCACTCCCTAAATTTAAAATGGCAAGTAACAAAAACATGTTGGATAAACAATAAGGAGAACTCGCATTATAGTTAAAACAAGGTTGTGAATTATATTTTATTAAGCACACAAAAATTAGCAAAAAATCTTTTAAATTCAGTACAAACATACCACACAGAATGCACCTCACTCTTTACATGTCAGTCTTCTGTGATCGATCTAGTTCATAGTCATTTTTCCCTTTTTCACATCTCATGTTAAACTCGTCAACACACTTGACACAACAACACGATGAACGTGTACACACATTGACACAACAACATTCACCATTGTCTCTGATGTCCTGGGATTCTCTCTGATGTCCAGACAAGATTTCTCTCTGATCCCTGAAAAGATTACTTTTCTCTAATGACCAGACAATATTTCTCTCTGATCCCTGAAAAGATTACTTTCCTCTAATGACCAGACAAGATTTCTCTCTGGTCCCTGAAAAGATTACTTTCCTCTAATGACCAGAAAAGATTTCTCTCTGATCCCTGAAAAGATTATTTTCCTCTAATGTCCACACAAGATTTCTCTCTGATCCCTGAAAAGATTACTTTCCTTTAATGACCAGACAAGATTTCTCTCTGGTCCCTGAAAAGATTACTTCCTCTAATGTCCAGACAAGATTTCTCTCTGATCCCTGAAGAGATTACTTTCCTCTAATGACCAGGCAAGATGTCTCTCTGATCCCTGAAAAGATTACTTTTCTCTAATGTCATGAGAAGATTGTCCTCTGATGCCCAGAAAAGATGACTGCCTGATGTCCAGAGATCTACTTATACCTGTAATACTTCTTAGGGTCAACTTTGTGGATCCAGTTAGAGTCAATGGCTCGCGTCACACGTTGTAGTTCAGGAACCACGAAGTCCATCTCCGATATTGTCCTGTCACCACTGTGGATGAGATCATGGAGTACCTTGACCGACTGAAAGATTTTGGTAAATGTCTTGTTCAAAAATCTGCCCTCAACCCGATCGACAATAAACTGAAGACGAAACAAAATCGGTTCACATGACCTCACTGTTTTCTCTCGCTGACCGTACCTCGCCAGCCCCAACAAGACATAATTGTGTTCCAGCACTCTGAAAGCCTTACGGAGAAAGTCGATGGCCTTGAGGACAACCTCCACCACATCCTGCTTCGCCGTGCGTTTACAGGTCAAGGTCGAGGTCACCGGAAGTCGGATCCGAAAATCTTCATAATGGCGGAGTCCCTTCACGAACATATACACAGCCTCTGGCTCTACGTGTCTCGCCCTCTTGTGACAGGCTAGACAGTTCTCAAAGAAATACACGATGGGGTGATCGAGCATCAGTTTGTTTTCCAAAACATACGTCACATTTTTCCCTTCCGCGCTGTTGGTATTGCAGGCGTACGGGGAGTGTTCCTTGAAGGTTTGAACACAACCCCAGCAGAAGGAGACCCCGCACATGCAGCACAGCACCGCGTTACAGCCGAGATGCTTCTCGATCGGGTACTGGCAGGTTGGGCAAGGCTTCAGGGTCACGTGCATGGAGGCATCCCTGTGAGCAACGGTGTCTCGGTGTGAGGTACGTGCCAGGAATTTGTTGTAGTTGTTGGACTGCTCACATGACGAGGGCCAGTGGGGACGTTCTCGGCACGAGTGACACCTGG